GACCAGTCAACTGCAACAGCCTCCCTTTCAGCATCAACAGCCCCTCGTAGTTCTCGGATTTGGCGGGCTGAGTTTGTCGTATCTGCCTTGGCCCATCCAAGCAGCTCCTGTCGAACATGCTTCAGTCGAGTTTGCACCTGGAAAAGAGGTGTGCCGCCAGCAGGTTGCTGCCATGCCGAGTGGACTAGAGGAGGTACATCCGGGTTGTAATCCCATCGTCGGTCGTAGTGAAATCTTCGAGCTCGGTGGTCCTCCGTCCTCACCAATCTCAACAGAAGCATCCTGTGATCAGACCCCCTGTCAGACAGATGGTGGACCTACACATCAGGCCATAAAGCAAGTACATGATTATTCCCAAAACACCGATCCAACCGTGATTGGATATGATCATCATTTGATTGTCGGTAAGTCCAAGTAAGCCGAGGTCCAATGTACCCCAAATCATGAAGCCCTGCCTCCCCCAAGAAGAGGTTGAGTTGAGCAAGGGCTGGTGGAGAAGGGGTTCGACCTCCTTGCTTTTCACTACTAGAAAGAAGACAGTTAAAATCACCCACCACAAATACCGGGTCCGCATACAAGGAAATCATATATGAAATTTCATTCAATTGAAACTGGCGGAGGTCTTCCTCGCAGCTTAAGTGTACAAAGACTACACCAAATCTTCCTAAAGAAGGGTGCTCACATTCGACAAATAAAAACCCAAAAGACTCTACTGAAACTGTACAAACCAGACTAGAAGACCAGGCAACAACTAAGCCACTACCATTATTGGACACACTATGTACTGCTCCGAAGGGAAGCCTAGACTACCAAACTGCTGAATCACAAACTCATCATCCCTCCTGGTTTCACTCAAACACACAAGCAGCGGAGATTCTCGGGGCAAGGTCTTCTTCAGGACCGGAATTGTCAGGGGCGCTCCCAATCCCCTGCAATTCCAGGCGAGTATGCTCATGGATCGGACTGGGACCGATCAGGGCCGGTTGCCTCCACCTCCAGTTTCTCGTTGGAACTTGCCTCGTTGCCTTTTGGACCAAGCCTGGCTCTCTTAGCATTTGGCTCATGCTGCTCAGCCATTCTCTCATCTTGCTGCTGCAAATTCACCAATGGACTGGTTGGCAGGCCATCCGGAGGAGCAGAGATGTAGAGCTGCCCCAAGTGGGATGCCAGTTTGGAGGGTTGGTCACCCCCATCAAGAGCTACACCAGGTTGTGCCCGCCTACCTGACGAAGCAGCCACCATCTGATTCCCCGAGCGATTTCCGGCCAGCTTCCACACAAACCGCCGCCTTCTACGATCCAGCGTGTTTTCATTCACTCTCGGACCAAACTCTTGCGCCACCATATGCTTTCCATATCTTGGCGGTTGTCCATCCAGTTCATCCTTCCTCGAACAATTCCTATTCACATGACCAATCACTCCGCAAAGAAAACAGAATTGGGGAAGAGACTCAAACTTCACCTTGGCTTTGAAACACCCTTTCGATGGGTCTTCATGGACAGCAGAAATCTCATCCGAAAGGGGAAGTTGAAGATCCAGAGTGATCTTCGTCCTGAAGTAAAGCCCCCCAGAAGAAACTGAGCGGTGGATTGTGGCCGCCCCTGCAGGTCCCATAGCAGCCCCAAGCAAAGAACCGAGTCTCTCGGTGCAGCAGTAGAAGGGCACTCCACAAATTTGGGCGATGAGCGGTACTCTGATGAGATCAGCAGCCGTTGGTGTTTCCCATTTCCTAACCTGGATGAGGAACTTCTCAAACACCCAAGGCGTCCCAGCCAGAATCCGACGAGCAGTCGCCGAATCAGGGAGCACGAACTGAAGGAGATCCCATTCCACAACCGGCACCGTGAAATCACACTTCCAGACCCTCCCAATAATCGTCTGCAGCGTCGGTAGAGAAGGGAGCGGCCCACAAAGTCGACCAATCAGAGTTTGGTCAATCCGCTGGGCACCCGCTGCAACATCCGCATCATTGAACTGAATAGCCGCCATGGAAATGGATCGCAAGAATCGCAATTGGACTCGTACAGCAGGGGAAAAGAATTGCCAGGGAAGATGAGAAGTGAATTTCCAAACGCAAGGCGCTGAGTACCCCCTTTTATCACGATTCCGGCGAGAAAGTACCGGAACCGGCGGGGGAGGATGGCGGAAACTTCTCGTTCCATCGGCGCACGAAGGCGAAAAGCCCACCCACTCGCCCAACGTGGGAGAGAGGGGGGAGGATTGCTTTGCTTTTTTTTCTTCTAAAATTAGCCATAGATTGATTAGTTCCGGAAAGGTTTTATTTAATTAAAAAGAATATTATAAAAATTTCTAAAAATAGAAATACATCTTGAAAAATCCCCAAATAAAATTACAACGTTCTCCTAAATCTTCCTCAATTTCTAAAATTATTAAACCCAGGAATAAACACCCACAGAGACTCGAAACAATTAAAACCTCCAAAAATACGTTCTGGAAATTCCCAGCAGCTTTACTGACCACCCAAAATCTGTCACTAAAAGCCTGTAACGCCTGTTGCTACAAATCCAGAATTGCACCCTCATGGAAAATTCCAAAATTAATCGACCTAACCCAAAGGGATCGAGTTCCCTTACCTATAAAACGTGCCTAGGACTAGGTTGGATGACCCGGGACGTTGATCTCCTCGATGATCGAACCCTCAAACGTCACCGATATTAAAATACGAGATTCAGATTAGGCTATCGATAAATCGAGTTTAGAAATCGCGAAAGGTTCGTGATCCTTACCTAGAACGAAAGGGATGGGGTCGGGGTCGGGGTCAGTTGCGAGCGCCGCTTCTTCTTTCTTCCTCTTCGCTCGGCGCTCGTACTGCTGCTGCTTGGCGGCGTGGGTTTTTTTTGGGTGGGGAATTATGATGGGTGGGGAAAATAATTTGAGGGGAGAGGGGGGATTAATTAGGGATAGGGGAGTGGAGGCGCTGGCCATTTTCGCCGCCCCTCTGCTATTTTTTTCCCCTTTTATAATATAATAATAATATTATAATAAAATAATATAATATTATTATTCTTAATCCGCGATTGTAACTCTTAGTACGTAACCGTCAATCTAACCGATCACGTATAAAGGTCGAACCTAAACCTAAAGGTCGGGGTGTTACATGTTGAGGATCATATACCGAGACCTTAAGGCAAAGAACGTCTTAGACGAGAGTTAAAAATGCCATTTTCAATTTCCTTATCTCCGCATGCTGTAGTATTAGCATGCTTTTCCTGCTGCTCAAAGCACTTCAACAAGAAATATAAGTTTGGGGAAATGGTTTTGCATTGTGGGGAGAGCACCTTCACAATCCAGTATGTATTTTTCCTCTTTCCATTTTCTGTTCATATTGAGTCAAAACAAATTTGTTATTGCTCATTCGTAACAGAACCAAATACAAAGAATTAAATCATGCACATGTTCATTCTTATCATTGTTTGCCATGTTTATTCAAGGATGCTTTGGCCCCAATTTAATCTGCATCTTCATGAAACTCATATTTGTTTGTCCATTTAAAAAGGCATACCAGATCTCAACTTTGAATTGGTTTTGTCCAAGTCATAAGATTTTCATTCAAATTAGACTAACCAAGATAATGTTTGGCGATACTAATTATAGGATGTACGATGTAGCTCTGTAATTGTATATTTCGTAAGGGGGAAAAACTACATATAAGATAATTATATCTTTAGTGCCACTTAGACTACTTTTATTTTGTGCTTCTAGGTTCATGGAATTCCCACACTTTGCCATTGTATCCAGCTGCCACTGTGGATCAGACCTCTAATGGCCAAATGGTGTTGTGCAGTAGAAGTTGCATTTCAATTTTTTTTTTTTTTTTTTTTTTTTTTGCATTTGAACCCATGTTATGTGCTTATCTGGTTGACCCATGTAAGAGCACCAATTATGTTTTGTCAGCGTTCGAATGGCGCCTGCAGTTGAAACCTTATTCAACCTGCACATTATGTTTAGTTTGTGTCAGTACTCTTCAATTATCTGAATCGTTGTGCTCTTGTAATATGAATGTTCTGACCTGTCTTTCTGTCCCAGCCCATTGAAAATGATGCATGTTTCTAATGTGTTGCTGCATTGTACTTATATCGTGTGGATGGCATGACACCTATCTTTCCTCAAACATGGAAAATTATTAGCCGACTGATGTGTCAGCAACACGTCTGCTTTAAATTTAGCATTAATAATCTGATCCTCATATTTTGATTAGTAGATTGAATGCCCACAAAAAACTACAACATCCTACATTGACCATAAACTAAACTGTCTTCCATTCATCATGACTCTGCAACTTAAGTCCCTGCGGCGTAGCAGCGGGCATTGTTTCTAGTCTACTATAATTAGCACCTACATTCGGTGGATGGTTGTGTTTAGGGGTGGCAGATCGGTTTCCGGTTAGCGGCTAACCAGCGGGTTTAACCGCTAACCGCCGGTTAGATACTAACCGAAAACCGGTCGGTTATGAGTCACGGTCAGTGTTCGGCAAGACTGAAGGGTTCTCCGGTTAGCCGAGTAACCGAAGGCAGTTAACCGAGGTTAACCGGCCGACTGACCCACAACCGAAAAATGTAAAAAAAAAGGATGAATAAAGTGGTTAAAAGTAAACCGACCCCCAAACCCTAAATCGACCTTCTATTCCATTCCACCCTCACCTCCACAGACACCCTGCCTCCTCCGCTCCCCATCCTTCCACCGCCACCACAACTTCCTCTTGGCCATCGTTCCTGGTTCCGCCGGCGGGAGACAGATCGCCGTCGCGACGACGGAGACGACAACGGCGACGAAGAAGAACAACTTCGTCCGCCCTCTTCTGACTCCGAGCCGGCCATGCAAGAGGCAGAAGAAACTTGCTCCGCCCTCTTCTGATTTGCTTTAAGATTTTGAAATTTCCTCTTTTTCTTTTTTTTCCCTCGATTTTTTCCTAATTTGGCCTTTGAATTGGATTTCTCTTCTTCAGGGGATATTACCGATGTAGCACATCCAAGGCTTGTATGGCCCGGAAACAGGTGGAGCGGAAAAGATCCGACCCGGGAATGTTCATCGTCACCTACACGGCGGAGCACAGCCACCCGGCTCCCTCCCACCGCAACTCCCTCGCCGGAACCACCCGCCACAAGACTTCTCCGACCGACGAATCGGAGAAGCCCTGTTCCGACGTCAAGCCGACCAGTTCGTCTCCGACGACCCCCGCAGAGGACGACGATCAGCAGCAGCTCCTCCTCCAAGGCACGGCGGCGGCGGAGAGCAAGGAAGTGGATTTGGAGATGATCGAGGACGAGGAGGACAACGATGAGTCGGGGAACTGCGGCGGGTTCTCGCCGGATGCTCCGGACGACGATTTCTTCATGGGTTTTGAGGAGCTCACGAGTTTGGCTACGGGGGATTGCTTTTCCGTGCCTTTCCCGACGGGGTTTGGGTTCCCTAGGCTCGCCACCGCCGGGAGTTTCTGAGACTTTGAGTGATGCGACTCGCGGCTCTGCTTTCCTGCAAATCTGTTTCCATGGAGAAAGAAGGTGAGAGAAAGAAGGTAAGAGAAGAAGAAGGAAGGAGAGAGGAGAGATATCTGGTGGAGGAAGGAAGGGGAGAGGAGGAGATAAGGTTCGATATTAGTGGTGCAGAATTTTTGGTTTCTTAATTTTTTTTTTTTAAATGTATTTTTTTCGGTTGGCCGGCTAACCGAGCCTAAAATCGGAACCGACCGGTCGGTTGACCGGCTAACCGTGACCTCTCTTCGGTCGGTGGTCGGCAGCTATAGAGGGTGGCTCGGTTTAACCGATAACCGGGTTTTCGGTTTTCGGTTAAACCGAAACCGACCGACTGCCACCCCTAGCTGTGTTGACTACACACCTGAGTATTATTTTGCAGTGAAGTTAGTTATGAAAGCGAAGGTAACGATATTGCATGTGTGGTCGTCTATCAAACGTCAACACACAAAACAACACCACAAGATCCAATTTAAGCCTTTAACTTGTGTGTTTTGATGCAGGAATGCAGCATAGTTAGAAACTAGTACGTAAAGTAGCTAGCTTGTGCAGCAGCATTTTTGAAACTGTGAAACGTGCCTTGTAGAGGGGTTAGGTCCGTTCCAATGTCTCCCCCAACAACCAGTCTTCAAGTATATTCAGTGAGTCAAATTTGCGACTTCCCAAAACAAAATCATGCATAATATAGTATCAGAACTTGGCTATATAGGCTGTAGCTCTCAGTAATGTCAACAGCCTCACCACCAACTACCATTCTGTATTTCTCTTTCGGTAGTGACAAGGAAGGGACGTTCGGCCGTTGCAGTTTCTATATCAACTCATATTAATGTTGTTTTCCTGGAACCAAGTAACCTTCAGCATTTGTCACCACTAACATAACATGGCATCCCCTGAGTACGAGCCACTGCTCTCGAATCTCTACTCTAGCACCTCCAGCATCCCGCACTTATCTTCGGATGCCATCGAAGAGCTTCTTCTGCACCAGAGGCAACAAATCACATTCAGGTGGTGGTCTCGCCTCTTCGCTTGGGAGTCAAGGCTGCTCTGGCTCTTATCAGGTTCCTCCATCGTCGTCTCGGTATTCAACTACATGCTCAGCTTTGTGACCCTCATGTTCACTGGCCATCTGGGTGCCTTAGAGCTCGCTGGTGCCTCCATTGCCAGTGTCGGAATTCAAGGCCTTGCCTATGGCATTATGGTACACACTCTTTTAACACAGTCTCCTCCGTTTCTGCCTTCCTTTTTCTGAATTTTTTTTTCCCAATTTGTTCAACTAATCAATCATTCAATCAATCAATCAATCAAATTTCAGCTTGGGATGGCGAGCGCAGTGCAGACAGTGTGCGGGCAAGCGTACGGAGCGAAGAGGTACTCAGCAATGGGGATAATATGTCAGAGGGCGGTCCTGCTCCACTTAGGAGCAGCAATCCTGCTCTCAATCCTCTACTGGTTCGCTGGGCCGGTCCTGCGGGCGATGGGCCAATCGGACAGCATTTCGGAGCAAGGGCAGGTGTTCGCCAGGGGGCTCATCCCGCAGCTGTACGCATTTGCGGTGAGCTGCCCGCTGCAGAGGTTCCTGCAGGCGCAGAACATAGTGAACCCTCTGGCGTTCATGTCGGTGGGGGTTTTCTTGCTGCACACGCTGCTGACGTGGGTCGCCGTCGATGTGGCTGGGTGGGGGCTCCTTGGCGCCGCCCTGACGCTGAGCTTCTCGTGGTGGGTGCTGGCGTTGTTGAATGCTGGGTACGTGGCTTTCAGCCCTCGCTGTAAGGAGACGTGGACGGGGTTGTCTGTCAGGGCTTTTACGGGGATATGGCCTTACTTGAGGCTCACGCTTGCTTCTGCTGTCATGCTTTGGTTTGTTTTCCTCCCGTTTGGTGTTATCTTCTTTGGTTTGTTAATTCTTGAGGCTGACTTGGCGATTGCTTTCCATGACAGCTTGGAGATATGGTACAGTCAAGGGTTAGTGCTAATATCAGGTCTTCTGTCAAACCCAACAGTCGCCTTAGACTCCATCTCCATTTGGTAAATATAAATGCCGACAAGAATACACTCTCTTTTTGCTTCCTTCCATCAAATGGGGGATATACATAATGAGAAGAACCCTTTTTGCAGCATGAACTACTTGAACTGGGATATGCAGTTCATGCTGGGCCTAAGTGCAGCTGCAAGGTACCCGCTCCTTTTTCTCTGCCTCCTCTGTTTTTCTATTAAGTAGTCTTTTGAGGCTGAGCTGCACAAGGTAGCCTTCACAATAATTAGAACTTAGAAGTCGAATTCTACACCCATCCGGTTTGTTCAAAGTGAGGGTTTAGGCCTAACATCTATTGGGTTTAAATTGATTAACACATGGATGGATGAGTTTACATCATTTAACTAGGTTCAAATAAGTCAAACTCAGCTACTAGGATAAATTGGTTGGACTTCAGTTATTTTTGTCCATTACCGGCAATGCTTTGGTGTCAAAACAACCAACGACATTGTTTGGTCAGTTACATCGCCGCAACTCTACCAACGTAGTGGTGCCAAGCAACAATGTTGCTTCATCGATAACAACGTTGCAGTGCGAATAACGTGTAAACCACAATAAACAATATCACAAGCATAGAGAAGCTTTTCCATATGGTTCCATTCCATGGAAAGCAACGGTAGCTGCAACAATGAAAAGATATCGCGGTGTGGAGCCATGGTTCAATCGAGCTGGCCCGGGGTGGGAGTTCATTGACCCATGATGCCATATCATGTACTATTTTTGTTTTTATGTGGTGTTATGTCATGATTCTGTAGAGTTTCATGGTCACTCATGGGGGTTGCAACCCTATTGCCGTGGCAGCAACATTGTAGCCCGAGCGATGTTGGGGGCTCAACAACGACCTTGTGGGTCGAACTATGTCACGGTACGGAGCCATGCGATGAGCCCTCAAAAACTTTTGGCGATGAAGTCAGGGCACGATCTCGTTGGTTTGACATCATATATAGTACCGTTGTGGGCTAGTCTAGTTGCAAGCTATTGTGAAAACCATTTGACACATGGAATGGTTTCGACATTACAGTCTTGCAAGCTCAATTTGCGGTAACCACGTCATGTAGTTAACAATGAATTCATGTAAAGATAAGTGGAAAGCATCAAATGCAAAACGTTGAACGCTAAAACTTCATAAAGGAGAATGAAGAACGTGGACGATAAAGTGTAAACAAAGTGGTCTCAACTTTATCTCTGAGACTCTCTAATTATGGAGTTCTCATTGCATGAAGGGTATTCCCTATGTATAGGAGTAGTTGTAGGTACAAAACTCTCTAATAATTTTCATATGAGTAAAAGTTGTAACTTAAATATAAATTCTACCAAACATCAAACAATATGGTTTGAACATTTTTTGAAGAAGTGTGAATCGAATGACTTTCATTATGATTTTAGAAGTCAAAAGTGTAATAAATCCACATAGAAATTTCCACAATAATAATATGGAGAGTAGACTTATCACAGGGTAACCTTAAATGATCCAATTAGTCAAACTTGAGTGAGATTAAGATGGATGGGAAACCTCCCATTAAATTACTTGTCCTCGAAAAATAGCATTTACTTTCGTTAGTTGTGGACCCAAAGTAGAAGCAAGTAACTATTGTATTGTGTTGTGACTAATAAATGAATGCAGCGTCCGGGTGAGCAATGAGCTGGGAGGAGGGCATCCGAACGTGGCGAGGCTAGCGGTCGGGGTGGTCAACTTCACCAGCATCCTCATCAGCACGCTCTTCAGCGCCGTGGTGTTGATCTGCAGAGTTGGGCTGAGCAAGCTCTTCACCACCGACTCTCAGGTCATCGACGCAGTCTCCAATCTCACTCCGCTGCTCGCCATCTCCGTCTTCCTCAACGGCATCCAGCCTATCCTCTCCGGTAACACCTCTGCTGGAAATACCCTTTTTTCCCCTCTTGTTCTGCTTATAATAAATGTGTGTGTTTGTTTGGCACGCAGGAGTGGCGATTGGGAGTGGGTGGCAAGGCGTGGTGGCCTATGTCAACTTGGCTACTTACTACATCATCGGCCTTCCAATTGGATGCGTGCTTGGCTTCAAAACCTCTTTGGGAGTTGCGGTAACTAACTAACTAACCCATCCTCCTCTCTTTGCAAACTGTTAATTAAGTCCTCTAGCCTAATTAACCAATGATACAAATGACCTGATAAAATAATACGGATGACAACAGATTCGGATGGGATCGGCTTGCCGATATGTAATTCCTGAACTGTTGTGCATGGCGATATAATATGACATACTAAAATTAATCCATACGTGGTTCGGAAAAACTCACATGTATCATTTTCGAACAATTATAACCAGAAAAATTTATTTGATCTAAATTTTTTGTTAGAATGTCGATGTCAATTGAAGTTTTTTTTTTTTTACATTGTTTGTAAAAATTTGAGTGAAAATAAGTTATATTTGAGATCTAAAAGATCATTAATTATAATGTTTGAGGGATATGGATGAACAAAAAATTTAAGTGAGTATAGAAATAGTTAATTTATAACACATATTTAGATGGGCTAGAAATTAAAGTAATGATTCAACGAAAAAAAGAAATTAAAGTAATGAGTATTTTTGTGATCTATTATTTTTCCTTAAGTGCTTTATTGTTATTTTTGTGATCTATCATCTTAACAATTAGTAGTTTTGCAGGGGATTTGGTGGGGAATGATCATAGGAGTTGTGTTGCAAACAATAACGTTGATTATTATCACAGCAAAAACAAACTGGGATGCTGAGGTAAATAAACTTTTCCTTAAGTGCTTTATGAACTGACAATTTATATTCTTTGCTTTCTTTCTCCTTTCCCCTTCATTTGTATTTGGGCAATAAATTTTTGATTCTTCCATTTCATAGGTCGCAAAAGCGGTTGAAAGGCTGAAGAACTCTGCCAATGAGGAGAACCTGGACCTCGTTGAAATTTAGAATTTACTAGAGATTTGCTTTTTTTCCTTGCAAGGACCCCGACCGTTTCTTTTCTGTGTTCGATTTGGCTTCTTTTTTTTTTATGTGATCAGCGTAACACCCGGTCATATAATTTGTTTACAATACCTAAACTACCCTTCGTTGGTTATGAATAGCCTAATTAACCCTAAGCTGAACCCTTCTGATCAGCTACTAGTCTCTCTATAATATATAGTAGTATTTCAGGAAATTTTGAACATTTCAATTGCTCTCTCCTTAATTGTAGCTAGGGGTAAATTTATAGTTCAGTTTAGAAATTAAATATCTTCTTACAAGAAAAAAATGTCATTACAAAGACATGAACTCGAGCCTTTTAGATTGATAGTCAATATCCCTAACCAAATGGACTACAACAATGTTTATGTATTTTTTGAATTAAAGAGAAAATATACTGAAATATCTCAAAATCATAGGACTATCTGTTGGAATTAATCGATATATGTAATTTCCTGGAGCCTCATCGCGCTAGATTATCAAAGGTTGATAGAATTACCTGAATTCCATGTTGTTGATCGCCAAGAGCTTGATGCGGAATCTGGAAGACGATCTACAGCCGGACGATACTTCTTGGAGCACAATCTGAGAGGTTTTGTGATCTTCCTCAACCAAGCCTCCTTAGACCACTAACGGGAATCCTCTTATCTTCGTGATGGAGAGAAGAAGAGAGTGTTTGGTCTTGGTGTATTGTGGCCCACAACCTCAAGCTCCTTTATATACTAGTCACCATGGGCTCCCATAAGACCCAAGGTGAACAAGTATTGGGTTTCCACCCATTTAGGCCCATATCAATACAAGATGTCTTTGGGCTCCTAATTGGATCACTTTCAATTAGCCCACATAACCAAATAGCTCATATAATTGTAAAATATGTGGCCCATATCATAATAGGAAATAGAATTTCCTAACAATCTCCCACTTGGGCTACATATTTTTCTTGAAACAATTATATCACAAAATTCTTTAGGCGCGCAACCGTATGCTATTTGTACTTAGACATCTCCTAAAACAATTTGGTCCACCTCCTGTATCAATTATGGAACCAACGCGGCTTTAATCATAATATGATAATGACTAAACCACCATGATCACCATACCAATACACTCAATGACACAGATCAAATATGGATGAGTGGCATGAAAATTACATGCAATGTGATCTAGAACATGCCTATTTTCAACTGGTCCAACTTTAGTCCTTAGTGAGATCAACTAAAATTCCTTCATACAGTGTGACCACTGTACAACTGAAGAGACTTTAAATTCCAAAATAGACTCTGGAAAACCACCACTTTATTCTGCAGAATTGATTTAGTCATAATCTATTGAACTACTTAAATGACTCCCACTAAACCAAGGTGTCATCCGGAATAACACTCATGCGAGCAATATGCTCATGAAAATCTTTATGTGTCAAATCATTGGCTAATGGATAAGCTAGCATTAGTCATGTCCTTAATGTTCAATAGAAACTTGTCTATTTTGAACTTTATCTTTAACCACCGGGAACTTGATGTCAATATATTTGACTTATGAAATCCGTGGTAATGATAGTTTATCGCTATCAAATCATTGTCTGGTTGACCTTTAATGACTTACGAAAGTCATTCTAGTGACAAAAACTTTGCAACCATAATAGGAAGTCTCAAGATATGCTTTGAACTCTACCCAACGCTGAAGGGTAACCTGATGTAGAGTTTATGCTACCTTGACATCCTGTAACATTAGAGTCAGAATACTTGATGATCTCTAAATTATCTGATCCCTAACAAATTTGCATGAATTCTTTTATCAACTTTAGTAAACGCATTACACGTTTGAATCCTTCTAGTGTTTCATTCATAGATCAATCAAATATTTGCCAAAGACTCTTACTAGAAATGCTTTATTGGGATGAGAATAAACTAAAGTATACATTAGTTCTTTAATGCAAATATGCATGTAAGAGATTTTGTATCTTAATTTCTTATATATAATTGGGGCACTGATTGAGACCAAAACTGTCTCCCTTAGATACAACACATCTCCTGGTTTACTAACTTATTCTACTTGCACCTTAACTAGAACAACCATGATGTATAAAACAGGAAAATGAATTTACTCCAACTGAACTTAAGATGTACACAATCATCTTCAACATTAGGCCCTGTTTAGCATAGTTTCCATCCTGTTGTGTTTTACACAGGTTGTGCCAACAAGAAAGCAACAGCAACAGCTACACAACGGAAATCAACATCATGTTTACTTCAAAAAAATGAAAACTCTGGAACAATGAAAACCAAAATAAAAATTGTGTTCGTTTTCGTTGTTCTCTTGTACCAAAACAAACAAAAAAAAACCAATTGGTTGGGAAATAGGGAGAGCTGAAGACCGTCGGAGATCGGAAGCTGCCGGCTGTATCTCGTCCTCACCAACATCTACTCAGCCGCTGCCGCACTTGGGGAAATCTCGAATACAATCTCCCAATTCAAATCTGATCTCCTTGTCTTCCTGATCTGCTCCTCTTCCATAGCTTTTCCTTCCGATCTCCTCACTTTTCACTCCACTTGTTTCCAATCCCAAGGGAAGATGAGAGAGATCTACAGTGGGGGCGGGAACACGAGAGAACGAGACGGCGTAGGGGGGCAGGATTGAGTTACGTCGGGTGAGAGCTTGACGGCGCGGGGGAGGAGGAAGAAGATGGTGGTGGCGACTGGCCGGAAAGGGAGCACGCCAGCCCCGCAAGAGGAAGAAGAAGATGCTGGTGCGGCGGTGGAGTAGGGTTTGGGGGTTGAAAAAAAAGAACAAGATTTTAGTAGTAGGTAGGATTTGAACGGTGGGCTGTTTTAATGAAATCAGCGGTGATACTAATGAGAAACCCGTGTTAAACAGGTATTGAAAACAGATCCGAAGCTATAAAATATGGTTTCTTTAATTTGGGCCTGGTTGTGTGAATCTGTTTCACAACAAAAATAAAAAACCCAATTAAACATGTTTTTTTTTCTCGGATTTCACAATTTCTAAAAACACAACAGAAAACAAAAACAAGCAACAATACTAAACAGGGCCTTAGTCTCTAAATCTGAATGAGCTAATAACATGATAAAAATTGTGATATCAATAATGAGATGCTTATATGAGCCACCATTGCCATTATATTCCTTAAAGAGTCTTTCAAATATGCCAGAGAGAAAGTCTCTTTGAGCCAACACTTTCCTTATTAGTAAAACATTAGAGACCAACATGCCTTATATCTCTCATTGACTTCACCACATGGCATCAATCCACTTTTCATAACTGTTCATGACTTGACTAAAATTGAATCATTAGTCAACCTGATGTCATGTATATATTCTTTGAAGAACAACTATATTGTTAGCTAGAATCGTTCATCTTCTACTTTGTGGATATACTTAATGGCACTTCTTGAGTGTGTTGAGTTTGTGTGGTAACAATATTCCTTATGTTTCCTTCCCCCCAAAACTCAAAATACTCAAGAAATCTCACATTTCTCATTTAAAAAAACTTCTTGAGGTGGGATTATAAAACTTGTAGCCTCGAGAGTACTATTGAGTAGCCAACAAAGTACAAGTTAATTCTTTTATCCATTATACCTTCTTGTACCGTACAAGGTGTTTCCTAAGTTGGACAACCCTAAATGTGCAAGGACCTTATTGCACTTATTGGTTACATTAATTATCTTCTGGATACTCAATTTAAGGATGTACGTTGTAACCTTGGATACTCAATTTAAGGATGTACGTTGTAACCTTTATGGCTTTTATCCAAATGGAGTCTAGTAAGTAGAAATACTCCTCACCATATCCTTAAGAGTTCAACGAAACTATAACATCCTTAACTTTCTGATAAGATCCCGAGCTCATGAAAGCCTAGGTTCTTTTATCAAAATTGCGCAGCAATAACTCAAGCTCAGATAGCTCAAATCGATCTTCAAAAAAACATAAAAATTAAAGAGATACGTGGGGATAGATACTCGCCACAATCAAGTGTGATCGCTTGATTGATAAGAGTCTTGCTAAGCTCTTCTGGAATCTTCAACAGAAATACTCAAACAAGGGTCTTGCCCTAGCTATGGAATCCACCAATAGCTAAAAACAATGAACCATAAGCACGACGGCTCCATGGGGGAAAAACACCTCGATGTAAAATTCTTATTCAACAAAGTCCCCTTCACACAGGCAATTCCTCCTCTATTTATAGAGGTTACAAACAACGTATCTACCCTTATTTAAAGCTTAAGAATCCTCTCTATCAAATAAGGAATGCAAATACCAAAAGGGAAAGGAAATAAAGCAATGATCCGCCCAAAAGGGAAAGGAAATAAAGCAAGGATCCGCCCAAAAGGGAAAGGAAATAAAGCAAGAATCTGCCAAGAACCCACCAAAAGCAATGGCTTAGTCCTCAAGTAATTCCTTTCTTCCTTCTGCTGCGGGAATCACATCACTTTCTATTTGTTCCTTTATTGAGAATTTGAGGTTTAGTGATTGAGTTCAGTCTCATCTCGTATCTTCCCTCCTCTCCTTTTGTGAATATTAGTACTCACCTAAAACTTCATGGAGGAAGATAAATTAAACCAAGTGTTGAGTATGTCTTTTGACACCTCCAAAATATAATACACTTGTACATTTTGCCTTTACACTTTATGGATTAAATTACCTCAATAGGCAGCTTACTCCGGATCCTTTTATGTTTTGGCAAAAACCTGTATTATTACTTCAATCAACCTCAGAGCCATCTCAGTATAATAGCCCCATAATTATTCATCGAATAGAGCGCTTAATGATCATCATGCACACTGAATTGGATATATCTCTATTCGCTATTATTAAATCTCATTGAGATTTTCCGAAGTAGAATAGGGATTGTTCCACATAAAAGCGCAAGATCAATGCCCATATATCGAGAATAATTATCTTGAATTTACTTTAAATTCTTTAGATTCATTCCATTTAACATAAGAGTTCACTTTAATTTTGACATAAATGTTTAAACCAAAGCACGAAAAACTATATTGAGATAAAAGAAAACACACATCAAACCATGTAATTAATCAAGACAATAACATTATTCAAATTCGGGGACCCATCATAAGATACCAAATGCAACATTAATTATTAGTCTTAATACAATGATCAAATACTGATAATAAGTTCTGTCAAACAACAGTCTATCTTTGGCCGACT